GATGGGGTATGTCTGAGGACACGAGATCATCGGATTCGTCGAGGATAGCCTTCATTCAGAAGGTGAGGGAATTTGGCGTTGCTGCTAATTGGTCAATCTCCATATCGGTGGTTAGAAAAGGATGCTAGCCGCCCTCGAGGAAAAGTTGTTAGTGGGAGACGTATTTGTTTGAGATTTGTGATAATGAGCTTGGGCTCGAGGCGGCAACCAGTCATAACAAAGGCATGGAGTAATTCTATAGCTCTCCTTAAAAGAAATATTTGCAGCGGTACGCGACAGTAAATATTCCAACGGTTTCTGTCCCGTGGCTCGCCACACACAGACCCTATTCTTCGGACGAGATGATTATCAGATGTCGATGCATCTCCACAGTACATGTTCAGCTAGCCTGAGGGCCGTTATAAACATTACGATCTAATTACCTAAAGTCCTTCAAACAGACAAACAGTCTTTGTCCCAACTACGGGAAGATAGGGAAGATCTATTTTTCAACGAATGACACATCCCGCTAGCAACCTTCCCTCAAGGACGGCCAACATCCTTCTTTAACTACCAACATTGAAATTGACCAATTAACAGCAACGTCAATTTCCCTCGATTTCTGAACGAGGGCTATCCTCGACGAATCCGATGATCTCGTGTCTTTAGATACACCCCATCATAGTTTTCCTCGCAGCATTATCGCGACGGAAAGTCACTCTCTCGTGATGTCGTATTAGCGAGTTACTTAGCGTCTTTACGCTCGGTGGATATTCCACGTTTTAACAAAGAGTTAGTTTAGTTATACTTCCACCGTAGCCAAGCAAGTCGAGTACGATTTGGGCTTTGGAAGAGAGAGCATCGTGTTATCCCATTGACCGCGGATTCGTTATTGAACCTAGGATCATTGTCATTATCTTCTCGAATATCTAATTACCACGGTTATTTGTCAAATTCTGTAATAATCGTATTTGCACTAGTCAATGTCTTCTCTGTTGCATAACGACAATGTGTAATCCAAATGAAGATTCGTTGCACGCCCCTAACCCTAATTCTAATGTAAACCCGACAGATATATATAGACTATAGCTACTTTACACGTATCTACAAATTTTATATTATTCTTTATGTGGATTTCAAATTTATGTGGTAAATAACCGAGTATTGCAAGTAAATCATGATTGGCGATACAAAAGAATTGTAACAAAAAAATTGTTAATTTTGAACTCACGAACATAGACCAAAAAATATTCAGACTTTGCTATACTACATTAGAAAATAGAAGAGCGTAAAGAAAGCAAATAAGATTCAGAAATGACAGAAATAAAAGAAAACAAAAAAGAACATTTAAGGCACAGTGAAATATAGAAAATATATTTACCATAGTGATTAATATTTGTAAATATAAAATAATTGTTAGGAGTTCAAGTCAGTTCGCTGTTGAGTGCCGAAGCGTGCAGACGGGTGTCTAGTGCTCTGTGAAGTTCGTAAAACAACACGTGTCGCTCATCTGTCGAAAGTGAACACAGCCAAGTGTTTCCTATCCTTTAGAGAAAAAGATCCTACGCTCCTAACCTCTATCCGAATACTAGCCTCATAGCCTCACGACTAGTTATTCAATTAGAATTAACTAGCTCGATGATGGCCCAGGAATCACGACCAGGCTCTCCTGAGCAAATCCATAATTGCTCCACGCTACCTTCTCCGTGGCAAAAGTGCAACAGATTCCCCCGTACCAATGACGCCAAAAATTCTAAGAAGCGAAAAATAGAAGCACCAAAAACAAACACAAACGCCACCCAGAACGAACAGTCAACAATCAAAGTAAACACTTACAACAGATACGCCGTATTGGAATCCACAAACGACTCCATGGAAACCGCAGACCCACCATCAAACCAACACACCCAAAGAAATTCCCCTCCCCCACCAATATTTGTTGATGATGTTATTGACAAACAAACGATGATTAAGTCCATAGAGAGAGATATCTGCAAAGAGGACTACAACCTAAAAACCAACAATAACAAAGTAAAAATCCTGCCGACAAACCCTGATGCATATACAAGACTCACCAAACCACTTAAGACCTTGTACGCCAACTTTCATACATACCAGCTCAAACACGAAAGACCTTTTCGAGTGGTTCTACGCAACATCCACCACTCAGCAGACATAGATGAACTCAAATTCGAACTCTTAAAACACGACCACGAAGTTATCAACGTTAGTAAAATAAGGCATAGGTCTCGAAAGACCCGTTATCCTTATTTTTTATCGACATGAAACAAAAGCCTAACAATAAGGAAACATACAACATCAGCCGTCTAATGAACTCAATAGTAAAATTCGAACCACCGCTTGTTATGAAAGAGATAGTGCAATGTAAAAGGTGCCAAAGGTACGGTCACACGCAAAAATACTGCAACCATATGTTCCGCTGCGTTAAATGTGCAGGTACACACCCACCCATTGTTGGTAAAGTACTACCCGTCTTTGGGCAAGGCTTGCGAAATCACACGAGTCCCACACAGGGAGGATCGTTAGAATCATCCTCGATTATTAAATTCAAAAGGCAAGAAAATCGTGGCAACAGAATCCATCGTAGTAAATGAATTGAGTTTCGGTTTTAACGGCAACCTACTACAGCGAAATTAAAAGAGAGGAAGAAGTCAAACGTAAAAATAAATTTATACAAAACAACGAAAAGTCTCACATTCCTATCTAATCCAGCAACGCTAAAATATATATATATCCGGCTAATAAAATATATATATACATAATAACCTAAGCAATTTTACATTCAAATAAAAACCCGTTCAACGAGGACAAATATTTATTGTTCCCAGCTTTAATCCTCTCCCGTGCCAGTATCCCTGCACATAGCAGGTTAGCCGAAAAGTGAAATTCGTTTACCAGTTGCATTAAGCGTCAGTTAACGCTACCCATTAAACGTAAAAATTAATAAAAATAAAATATTTTGAAATAGTCCTTGGACTATTTCTGGTGGCAGCAACTACCGTGTTAATTAGAATTCTAAATCTATATCTCATACGCAATAATATCATTTCAAATCATTTTCCTTCAGATTAAAAACAAACAAATAAACACAAAAAAAAAATTTTTCAGTAAAATTTAAGTTTAGAATTTGATCGATTTTAACAAACAAATTGATACGTAACAACTGCCATGGTACAATCACCACTTCAGCGGTATACTGCCCTCCCAGACACCCCATCGCCAAAGAAGAGTTTGATAACTTCCTTGACGCTCTAGACAATAGATTCATATCCGGAGGAGACTATAACGCCAAACATACCCAATGGGACAGCAGACTGGTCACAGTAAGAGGCAAAAATCTCTTAAATAGCATAATCACCAACAATCTCAACTACCTCACCACATATGAACCCACACACTAGCCCACTGACGCTAACAAAATACCTGATTTACTTGACTTCTTCATAATTAAAAATATCTCGCCAAGATACGTCCAAATCAACTCGTCGGCTGATCTCTCTTCTGATCATTCCCCCGTGATAGCAACAGTCAGTTCAACAATTATCGAGAATACATCTAATGACTTTATTC